TTTTTTTCTGTATGTGACTGATTTTCACCAAGAAACACAATTTTCTTATTAAAAATGTCATTAAAAATGTAGCAACAAAGCAAGAATAAAAACCAAAGCAAAAGAGAGATGCTGCTTTTCCTCTAGGAGCAAGTTGGAAAATGGTCAAGTTGTATGTCAGTAATGACCCTACCCTCCCACCCATGCTCTTGCTGCACCTTGACCTTGCCCCTCCCAGCTCTCATCATGTAGCGATTCTGCATCATTGAAGCTGTGCTCTGACTGCCTCCCTGCTAGATGGTGAGGGAGGGGGCCCTGTCCCTCTTGGTCACGCTCGTACCCACAGCATCTAGCAGGGAGCCTACACTTGGCTGCTTCTCAATAAATATTGGTTGCACGAATGAATGAATGGTTAGGTCTCTCCTCCCCAACTAAGCTAACGGTGCCTATAAGGTGGGGCTCATGTCACACACAGGATTTCTGAATTTTCTTGAACACTAGTGTTGGGCATATCAGAGGTGCTTAATAAAGGCTTGCTTTTCTGAGGGGATCACGTCAAAAGGAAGCATGCCCACTGAGCAGAGCCAGCCTCCTGCACATGCTTCCCCTAGAGTTCAGGTGCGACTCCTGCCTAACTGTAAATGCTGTCTGGAACCGACTCGCTGATTTTATTTGCTGAGAGAAGCAACTGAGATAGCCCCGGATCCTTATCTGCAAAAGCAGTCGTGCTGTAACACACTGCTCCACCCCACCTCTTTTGGAAAAAGATTGATAAGCATAATGATGATGTTTTAATGAGCTTAATTGCACATTCCTTATGTTCTTGCAGAGTTGCCAACCGGCTACTTCAACATCCAGCAGTTTGCTTGTAATAACTTCTCCCCCTTCCTTCTGCCAGGGAGCGTAATTATTCTTGCGGTAATCCCGTACTTCAGCCCTTTCTCCCTTGCCTTCCCCCACCCTCTCTTTTTCTCGCTGTTTTTTTCCCTTTCTGGGAATTACTCTAAATGGGTATCTTTGAAAGGAGGGTGGCAGGCTGCTTTTGGTACAGTACTTACCAAGAACCCTTTCATCAAAGAGGCCCTTGTGAGCATGCTCTGGCTGCGAGCCAATCAGATCATCTCGCTGTCTGTTTCTGAAGAAACTCGGGCCCTGGTATGCAAGTCAGGCCAGGCTGCAGACAGGCTGACTGCACTCCCAGGCCAACCTGTCTTAGTTGACTGAGAAAATGCTGAAGGGAAAATTACCTGTTTGGCTCCAGACGGAATTAACATTTTTTTTATATATATATACACAAGTATGTTTATTATTTTTTGTTTAAAAGCGTTTGCCTATCTAATATAGTCATTAATGCTATCTGGTCAGTACTTGAAACATTTTGAAATATGTGCAAATGCAATAAGGCTACAGGGCCTGGAGGCAAAATAAGATGAATTTTCTAATTAAATGACTGAAAACAGTTTTGGGATTAACAAATGGCGGTTCTGTAATCTGTTTATGGGCACTGTTCTGTGCAGGGACATTCGGTCCATGCACAGGCCCTGGTGGGCTAGCAGGATCTGCATAGCCAGTGTTCCTGGCCCTCACTATCCTTCACATCACACTGCACTTCAAATCAAGCACTGCAGAAGGTCATGTGGCCCCAGCCTTGGCAGAAAATGGCCTCTTCCCAGAGATAAGTCAACTCATCTCTGAACAGAGTCTGGGAAACCTTCTCTTGGAGCCCAGGCCCCCAAATCTTTCTTATGAACACATTTTTGATATTTCCAGAAAAAGGTCATAGTTGAGAAACAGATCTTATAGTTTCTATTTGAGGAAAGTATTATGGTGTGTCCTTTTCCTAAACCATTCTAGATTGTTGCCTTCCTCCTCCTCTGAAACCCAGGTTTGTGGATGCTGCACTTGCAGGGTGTTCCCTGCCTGCACGCCCGGGGCCAGCTGCAGGGGACTGAGAGAAGACATGGCTTTGGTCCTCAAGCACAGGGTCTAGACACCTTGGATCTTCCATCTTAAGTGATTTCCTACAGCTCTTGGTATCTGCAGAATTAGCTTGAATGCTTAAAAACGGCTCTATATATCTGAAGTCCAAAAAATGACACCATGTATAGTAGACGGAATTATTGTGACATGTCCTTTTTCTTGGTACTTTTCAGGATTCTCTAGAATTGTACATTGAACTTCTAGTCTTTTTTTTTTTTAAGTGTTTTTTAATTGTCAATGGACCTTTATTTTATTTATTTATATGTGGTGCTGAGAACCGAACCCAGTGCCTCATGCATGCTAGGCAAGCACGCTACCCCTGAACCTCAACCCCAGCCCTAAACATCTACTCTTAAAGATATAAAATATGCTATTATAAAGAACCTTTCTGGGAGTACTTAAACAGGCACATTCCAGAATTATATACAGAATAAATCAAGGGACAATGGGCCAGACGATCATCAGTAATGGTAGAAAGAAGTTGGAACTGAAAGAGGGGAATTTTAATGAACAGGGTAGCTTGAGAATCACAGCTGGCTTAGGCTAGGTTCCTCGAGTGTTACATCAAGTAATAACAAAAATATAACTATATTTTTACATATGAGATTTCATAACTTCCTGAGAAGTAAACAGTCTCTTCCCCATTATTTGTCCCCTCTCAAGGAACATCTACATTCTTACTTTGGGCTCAATGTTTTTGCAAAGTTTCCTTCTTTATGCAGAAGTGCAATGTCACAAACAATGCCAGCCTGATTTGGTGGTCCAGCTCACATGCTACTAGAGAGCCAGGGGCCACACCCAATTGCAGTGAGGTCCCTCCCAGGCCCCTAGATTCCTGCTTGTGCTGTATACAATGTTCTTACAATTTCAGGCTTGTCTGTGGAAAGGATGCTTGGAAATTCTCTGACGGTTTGATTCACTGTGACCTAAAGGGTTTCTTCCTAGGAGGCTTTTCTTTCTTTTATAAGCCCCACAAAGTCATGGATGTAGGCCGAAATCGAGGCCTTCCTATCCACGGAGAGAAAGAAATTTAAAATTCTTTTCATATAAATATATTCACAGAGAATGATCCTACTTTTCTCCTGGCTACTCCCACTCTGGGCAGGCAGAACATAGACCTGGGGGTGGGGAGAGTCTACTTTTGTCTTTGCAGTCTTTTTTCCCATTCCAGGGGAACACAGCTAATTCTCAGCACCAAATTGTACCTCTGAATGGGCAATGAAAAAAATGATGAAAAAAATTCTTTGCCAGTAGTGCACCTTGCAAGCTAAAAGACCATTAGATAACAGTAATTATAGGTTTCTTCTCAAGAGCAAACAATTACCCTAGTGGGAAAATGTCCACTTTTTAAACACAATAAACTCTTTCAAGGATTTGCATACAGTCCACTACTCTTGAGAAAAGCACCTTTGGGAAAAGACCCAAACCCAAACCAGACGAAATCCCTTTCCAGAGTTGAGCAAAGTGACTTGGGGACATGTGTTCTTTCTGCTTTGGGGATTAAGGGCTCTATTATTATTATTGAACTCAAAAGAGAGAATTTTCTTGGTTATTTCTCTCATGTATACAAACCTGGCAAAGGAATTCATTTTTTATAACTATTTAAAATTTTTTTTAGTTGTAGATGGACACAATATCTTTATTATTTATTTATTTTTTTATGTGGTGCTAAGGATCAAACCCAGTGCCTCACGCGTGTAAGGCAAGGGCTCTTCCACTGAGCTATAACCCAGTCCAAGGAATTCTTTTTGTAAAAATAAGTTGTTGAGTCTAAGAGCTGACAATCTATTGCAATTCTGTGTATTATGTGCACAACGTCCATATATCACCATCTTCTGAGGGCAGCAACTGTTTTATATCATTTTATCCCTTAAAAATGATTTTCCCAATGTATAAATAGCTCTGATTTAATTTGTGAGAAATTTTATGTAAAATACACATAAAATTAGGTTTTGTCTGACTTGATTTATACAACGTGGTTTCAGAGTCTATAAACCATAGAACTCTATCTTACAAAAAAAGGGCAATTGGAAAAAGAAAAGTCCATGTAAGGAACCCAAGGGACCTAAAAGAAGCCTGAGGTGTACCCAAGAGACAGCTGAGCATCAGAACCCCCATGTGGTGGGTTTTAAGGTAAACAGCAGGTCACCAACCAGGCACCAGGGTCCTTTCTTCCCAATACTGTACTGGGATAGAGTAATACAGAAAATAGCCCATGGTTTCTCAAGAGGAGGGACACTGAGTCTGAAAGCTGTTCATCTACCTAAGACAAACGGGTTTTCTGAAACCCCAACAGCCGAAGCAGGGAGAAGATACATTTATTTAAAGCATATTCCCCCCAAAGAAGAATCATACTTTCTGCATTTTCAAAGATTTCTCAAATTGCACAAAGGTCAGAACGAGTGAGAGCAACAGAAATGCAGTGGACAAGACCTTCGAGTTATCCTTTCAGCAACTGTGGCTGGTGAGACAGATTTCTCTGTAATTAGGTATCAGCTCTGCTTCCGAGTAGTCAATAGTGTAATCAAAATAGCACGGCCAGGAAAAGAGCCAGAGGAGGGCGGGAGGGCAAAAGGGAGTTAGAGAAGCAACAAAGCAGGGGGCCCAGTGAGCCAGGCTGGACCCAGCCTGGTGGCTCCTGTCAGCATGGGGGGAGGAACTGCTCATTAACACCTGCAGTCTTTCCTGGCTGCACATTCTCATGGCTTTCCTATGTCTGCTTTCAGTTTACAATTATTTATGTTACCCTTGTACAGTTGTGTCTACACCATGACTTTGGCTATTCTCAACTTGAGATCTACCTTCCCTGAGTTCTGAATTAAAAGAATGCTATTGTTAAGGAGATGCACCCCAACATTTGTCATTACTCTCCTGGAACCTGATCGAATAAGACCAGGTAAGCTGCAACGATGACAGAAAGCTGCTCATTCTACCACCATGAAGGCTCACAGTTGAGCACAAAGGGTCTGCCACCTGTAAGGATTTATGTAGCTCAAAGGGATTGTATCACAAACAAAAGTAGCGTGAGAGCAACACCTTACCTTTGCAGGCATGAGGTATTAGATCCGTCCTCTCCGGTGGCTTGCTTCTTGCCCTATTCTAAAATGCATAATATCTGCTCTGCACGATGGGAGTCCCAGACTCTTACTCCATTGCTTCTCTTCAGTGGAGAGATGTACAGTGCTAGTTCTTTTATTGGTCCTATTTACAAAACAATTATAATTGCCTCTAAATAGACTGTAAATTTTAGAAGAAAGAGATTAACATTTTAATGTCTTAGATACTCCCCTGTGGTGTGCAACAGGGTGCTGAAGAGTTGGTTGGCTTTACAGTGCCTCCTCCCTAGCTCTCATGGATCATGATGATAAATAAGATAACACCTCAGAGGAGAGGTGTGACTTCTATACTTCTACAAGGACATTCAGAGCACACAGGGATAATAAGCCTGTTTCTCTGCCCTCTTGCCACATATCAATATCTCTCTTTACCTCTTAAAAATTTTAAAATTTCTCTCAAGCTGCACCTCTTACTGCTACATAAAAATTCTTAATGTTATTGAAAATTAGCATCAAGGCTTTACCTAATAATTGCAATCACATTGTTAAAGAAATAAAATAAAATAAAATAAAATAAAATATTTCCCCAAATTCAACCTAGGTGTATCTTGGGCACAGCATCTACCAATGTCTGAGGCCATGAGTTCTAACAGGAGATACTTGGGCTAAAAGTTCTTACAGCAACAATCTTGCAAGCAAGGGGATCTGCATAAGCAATGTTAATGTACTACCAAGCAGGCTGTCCTCTAGTGTGTAGGGGATCACTTCAGGGAGGGGTGGACTGGACAGAAGGCAGTGGCTGATCACCTGGTGTTCAAAATGATGGCTTGTAGTTCATGCACCAACAGTGGACCACAAGCCCACAGGTCTTTCCTTCCTCTGACCCTTCCTCTTTAGGTGCAGGCTACTTTGCTGAGTTTTCTTTTCCCTCTCCAGATTGTCCTTGACGGGCATTACAAGTGGACTTAAGAGCAGACACCAATGCTTGTGCAATAAAATAGTAAGAGCTGGCCTCCCCAGGCTTACTACTGAATGGAGTAAAGGGCAAGGCCCTGGCAGAGGTACCTGCTCAAAATTGGTACCTGATAGGTACGGCTCTTAACCTGTTTGGGATTTGATCATTTCACACTGGAAATACAGAACTGCAATGAGTTTTCCTCATAAACTAGGCAGAAATGCAAATTACTGTACTTTGGTACTTTGAAAAGCTTGGATTAGATGCTTTAAGATAGGACATGCACAGGTTGGTTCAGCCGAGGCTGTCTTCTTCCTGCTAGGTGACATCTGGCCATTTTCACCCTGCTCAAATCTGTGACCATCTGCTTCTATAGGCATCCTGGCTTCTGATCTGGAAGCAAAGGTGCCCCTGTGGGGTCTTTTCCTAGTAATTACAGAGCACAGCCATTTTCTCTATGTGAGTAGCTAACCAGTAGGCAGTTAATTATTGAGTACCTACTGTGTGCATGGCAATGCGAGCTGTGAGGCTACAGAGATGACTAAGGTACACTCCCTGTCCTCTGGAAGCTTGTTCTCTGTTCATGCCTGGGCATGACAGCACTCTCTCTGCTGAAACACAGATCACACACACAGCAAAACTATCTTCAGTTCTTAAGCAGAAGGTACCCACTTTATTAATTCATTTGTCCTTCCCACAAAAGATAAGCACTTCATACCCAACACCAGTTTGAACACTGGTATTGTTCTACAGGATATGAGAGCTTCAATAGCCACCATTTACAGTTCAGACAGATAAGGGAGAGGGGAAACAACCCAAATCCAGGAGGCAATATAAAAAGAAGAGAACAAAACACATGTTCATACACTCACCCTTAAGTACAGGGGAAAACCAATTGGGAAACTTTCATTTTCTTCTTGGATGTGTATTTCAACAATCCTGTGTGATACGTGTCTATGGAAACCTTTGTTATCTCAAAGATAGTGAGGTACTAAAGGCCTCTGTTGCCATGGAACAGCAGTATTTGCTTTTTCTTCTATTGCACAATATCTAATTATAGAGACCTTGATAAAATTATGCATTCCTAAACACAAATTAAGGCCATTTTACAGGAGCCTTCACTTTGTCAAATTTCATTAAAAAAAAAAAAAAAAAAGATCAGGATGACTTTGCAGAGTCATAGGGGTAACCAGATAAGATTCTCTAGAACCTCTAGTTGGAGCTGCAGAAGTGTCCTAGGTAAAAGGGGCATGCCCGTTGTTCATTCATCCACTGAAGCCCGAGTTGAAACTGTAAAGCCCTTTTCACCACGGTACTGCTGCTGTAAGATGCATAGTTAAAAATCAGTTTCTTTGTTTGCTCCCCAAACCCAGTGATGGATTTAATAGTGCAGAAGACTGAACAGTTATTTTGAAATAACATGTTGCAAATACAGTTGGTACTTACTTCCCATTTACCCCTAGTTCTAGGTAACCTCTAGCCTGAAGCTGGGGTATGTTCTGTCCCTGATTTTATACTTTTACTTCATATTTATGTCTCTATAAGCCTGCATAATACTCTACATGGAGTGTTTTGAAACTTATCTTTTGAATCAATGCAATAGTTATTTTATAACTTATCCTTTCAATCAATAAAAATAATAGTTTCAAATTGTGCATATGTGCATTTCAGTTGCTTCTACATTTCTGCAACTCCAATGTTGCTATGAACATCTTGGTCTGTGGCATCTTACAGACCAACTGGGACCTGTGGGGATTTTTCTTAAGGTCTTCAGACTAGGATATTGCTGTTGTTTATGAGAATCAATTTCCAGGTCTCTCACTTCTTATGTGTATTATTTGTTAAAGCCAATCTTCCAAGAAGATTTCTGTGCTCCAGGCATGGTAGAGTTCTTCACCCCTCTCCTTCCTCAACTGCCTTCTTCCACTTTACCAAGGTGCTCTGCCCTGAAGTGCAAAAACCTCCACAGAACCAAATGAAAGGACACTCTGAATTACTGCTGCAAGGAGTTGAGGGTCACAGAGCCAGCCCAGAGCCTTCAGCATGCTTCTCTCTCACACAGACTCTCGTCAAGGGAGAAGTGTGGGGTTCAGCCTGGGGTGGGGGTCTGAATTCAGATAGGCAGATGCCCCCTGATTAACAGTGGCTGGCTTAGTAAAAAAGTGATACATATTCAGTACAAACAATACTCTGAATTTTGATCTTTCCCTGGACAAGCACCGTGTGGTCTGCAGCCTCTAGGCAGCCACGTGATCTTGAGGAGCAGTGGCTCACACTCTACCATGCACCAGGTGGCTAAGCCAGGACCTCTGATAGGATAGGTGTGTCGAGTGCATTTTTGACTTAGGGTATTTTCAACTCACAATGAGTTTATTGGGAGGAATTCCATTGTAAGTCCAGGAGGATGTATACTCTAGAATGGCGTGGTGCAAGTTTTGAGAATCCCTGACCATGACTTTTCCATCTCCTGACTTATTTTCAAAGAATGCAGTTTTAGGGAGAGAATCTTGTGAGGATGGAACAGAATGGTAAGAAGTTCTGACCGCAGTGGCACCTATGTCTGACAAGTGACAAATGTGTAGAGTGACTTGAAGCTCTGCACTCCATGCATCTGCTTCAGTCTTCTTTTCTAGCTTCCCACCTATCTTATAACTAGAACAGAGGCGATACCGTTGTCTTCAGGCTGTGAACTAACACATTTATCCAAACAGAAAAAATGAAGTCAGACTTGCTCCGTCAGAAAATCAGTCTCCTTCAGTTGTTTTATTTGACAATGAAGACTGGTTTGACTAATTGAGTCACATGGTGGCTGTTTCCATAAGTTGAATGAGTAATTTATAAGGTCATGATAAGAATTATTTAAAGCATATAAAATCATTTCCTAAAAAATATTCTATAGGCAAAGATGAATCAATGTGAACAGTATTTCTTTTCTCCTTCTTTCCAAATATATTTAGTTAAAGTGCCTCAAAACCCAAAAAGAATAACAGGTATTGTTTGTGGGAGAAGTATGTACAAGTGTCTATTCGTGCAGGGCACTTCCTGCTTTCAGAACAAGCATCAAAGAATCTGTGGGGCGGTCTCCCTGCATCTCTGCAGGGGAATGTGAATCTGCAGAGAGACTTGATTGGCTCAGGTAACACAATCATGTATGTTCTGTAGATGAGTCAGGAGATGTATGAATACAAGAGTAAATTTAAATACCTTTTATTGTCCTACACAGAAAAATGTAACCACCTGAGAGAAAAGGGCACACCCTCTCTAGACGTCAGTCTTCTCAGTATAATGTTCAAATGCAAGCCCGAGTCAGGCAGGATGATTAAACTGACACGGTGTACCTGGGTATACCGGGGGAGGTACCTGTCTGCTTGGGTGACATGGCTCTGAGGGGGGCATGTCAGTGGCCTACAGTGGAAGGAATTCTAGGGCAGGTTCCACAAGTAGCTTAGAGACCTTTGGAGAGTCACTTTTCCCCTGGACTCAGTCTCTCCACCTAAGAAATGAGGGTTGGAGCCCACATTCTCCCGGGTTCCATGTGTACCTCAGCCCACCTCCCCCTTTGCATGTTGCTCTACAAGCCCAATGCAGGGCCTACCCTCCAGTGCCCTTGGTATGGGCACTGGATTGCCACTGTACCTGCCAGCTGGGTCATGTGCATACTGTTAGCCCTCAAGCCGGCAACACCATGGCTCTGGCTACTGAGCAGTAACCTGAGTTTGCCACACTCTTCTCTCCAGTACTTTCTCTTATGCCACCCCAGTCACTAGGCAGGGGAGAAGAATCAAGCCCACATCAAGGGTTTCAGGGACCAATATTTATTTTGCTCTCTGAATAATATTCATGTTTTATTTCTGATACCCTAAGAGACAAACAAAATAAAGCAATTATAGCTCATGGGGGAACTTGTGGCAGAGGATAAAAAATAGCCCTTGTTTGCTTTATACACATTATAGAGGAACATTCAGAGGGCACCTCAGGTCCCGCCTGCCCCCTGCCTTTTATGGGAACTGTTCAAAGGCAGGGTAGAATCCTGTAGAAGCATATGGGATAGGATGCAGGTGGAGCTCTGGATCAGTAGGTGAATGTGCAAGCTTCCAAGCCTGGCTGCCTTGGTTCAAATCTGACCTCTGCCACTTGTTGACCGTGTGACTGGGCAGAGCATATGACCGAGCCTCTCTGAGCCCCACTGT